GATAACTAAAGAAAGGCGAATTCCTATATTCAAAAAACTTTCTGATAAGAATCAAACAAACCCTCTGTATTCCAATTGACTTCAGTTTGGACTAGAAGGAATCTCAAGAAAATCAGGCCTCACACCTTGAGATTTCACCCATGCCAGGAAATCTCCTCACAAACTTTAGATAAAGTTATGGACTTCATCGATCTGTTTAGTGTTCCATTCCAGCCTTATCTCACCATTTCTAATCTAATTTTAAATTGTGTTAATATCTATCAAAGACAATATACCCGCGCACACAATATATAAATGAACTAGCTTATACAGAGAAGACTCAATTTCTTTACTTAACACTTAGGACGTAAGACCAGTTTCACTAACACCATGTCGCTAATAATCACAGGTAATGTTTTAAAGACAAATGTTATTCTAGACCTACGTCATTAGGCATGTCATGTAATTGAAGAATATGATCTAATAAATAGAGCTGTATTTTATTAGCATAGGAAATGTCAAGTTAGTCAACAGCTTAACGTCAGTGCGACTTCCTAGGTGGTGTTCAACGCAGTCACACTTGTCGAATCCTAGGCTTAAAATTGAGTTCACTGAAGATCAGTCCTGTAGTACTATTTTGTACCCAATAAGTGCATAATACTTAACGACTGGATATTGACTATACATTCAATAAGAATCAGTTACGGTGAGCCCGACTATAGTTAAGGTAGAAATATATGATATGAAACTGAACCAAAATATTATAAGATAATCAAAAACCAAATTGCAATCATTAAGATCAGCTAAGCAGGTTTCTTTTTTCAGATAAGTAAGACCCATCCAAGATTTAGAAAATGATTTTGTATCTGATTACACAATTGATTATCAAAGTATGCAGAAACCAGATCTAAATATACGCTATAAATAATTTGCATTCTGAAATCCAGGTGGTTGAGTAAAATATTTGGGGAACTCTCAGAGGCAACTATTTTGTCCATAGCACGAGTGAAACCGCCAATCTCTGCAGAGATTTGAACAACGAATCAGTTCTGAAATTATCTAAGAATTCAGGCACAAAGCGGAACACACAAATTTTTAAAACAATTAGTTCCCTTTATGAATTTAGATAAAGTGATAAGAAGACGTAATTTGTTTGAATCGTGTAAAGAGCTTTAGTAAGGTGCGTCTTCAGTAGAATCCAACGAATATGCACTGAAGACACACTTGATGCGGAAGAAGGAAAGTTGACACAAGCTCTGGTTGATAACAATTATCCAGACAAGTTCATCAGGAGATATAAAGTAGTCAGAACACCAAGACCCACTCTCCAACTCGCCCCTAAGAAAGACGTGTACATCAAGCTACCCTATATGGGGCATCAAAGCAGCTTGATAACTAGACAAAGACTGAACGCTGCTGTCAAAAAGACTTTTAATGCAGTCAATATCATAATAATAGAGAATGTAAAGCCAATATATCTATCTAATCCCTTCGAACATGCGAAAAATGACGTCACATCCCACTGTATTTACCAATTTGAATATACGTGTGGACACACATACATAGGGAGGACTCATCGATCTCTGCAAGTAAGGGCTTCAGAGCATATTCCTAAATGGCTCCAGAAACAAATGGAATCTTCAGAACCTATTAACGGTGAGAACAGGAGACCTAGCTCCTCTATTGCAAAACGTATTATAGAGACAGGACATAAAATTGATGTTAACAGATCTCTTAAACCTATCTATAAAGCGTGTTTGGGGCGTATCCTAAAGTTTGTGGAAGCCCTAGCTGGCAATTAGAAAGTTTAAGCCACCTTTATGCGTTCAAAAACAATTCGTCATCACATTAAACCTTCCTTGGTAAATTTTGTTTTGATACCATAGCAGATGTACTATTACCTCTGTTATTTGGTTTAGTAGTCTTCATTGTTACTTTGACCTTGAATATGTCCTTTAAACTTGACCTAAGTCTATTTTCTCACCTCTTACCTCTTTATTAATTTCATATATATTCCTATGACAAGCCCGTGTGTGATCAGTTTGTTCGAAATGTGTTGCGCAAATACATTACACGATTCAGACAAATAACGTCTTCTTATTGCTTTATCTAAACACAAATTTTTATTGCATAATGAAATATTAGTGACAATGCTTCGCTTTGAAAAAAATATGATTCTAGTAATATGATAGAAGTAGAGGTAAAATATTATTAAATAATTCCTGCTTAGTTTTCAGAATGCAGTAGATAATAATAAAAGTGTGCAGTAAAAATGAAGTTCTGAAATACAGGCAATAACAGAGTGCTAATGGATATAATAAGTGAATTATCTAAAATCACTAACTCTTTGTAATGTTGACGACAAATAGAGAACCACAGGTTACCTTTCAAAATTAAAAATCTCTATATTATAAATTTATAAGCAATATTTTATTCTGTCCCTAAGTAATACGTGTGTGGAGGCCGAAAAATATCAAATTATACGCTCATTGTAAAATAGCAAAAATAATGAATTCACTGCACATCATGGTTGTTAACTGAGATTGAATAAGGACACAATCTGGTTCAGCGCGCTATGGGGAGGACACAGCTTCCCTCCCCAGCTTCTTGCTTTCCAATCTTGCCAGTCATCTCTGGATCGTAAATTATCAATGCGTTCACATTCGAATCCTTTGCATCAATCTCCTTTTCTCTCCGCAAGTAACCTTGGGCTGTTGGCATACTCTTAAGCGGAGGTCCCAGTCGCCCTCAAGATGGTGCTGATATTGAACCTCGAAATTAAAAGTGATACCGAAGCAGAAATCCTCCTCAAACGGCTTTCGAAGTCTCCCAGTGAAACATACTTCGTCACCAGCCTACGAATAACATTCTCCTGCAAGAAACTACTCACCCAACACGTGAAAGACAAGCTGTCACATTGGTCCACTTCAACATGCATAAACAAGTTCACTTCCTCCGGTGGAGCTGAGTACATTGGCCGTACCATGCGTCCACCTGTAAAACTTGCGGGACCCTTAGCCTTTGACCGGAAATAATTCTGGAACTTTCCCAATCATTTACTATAAATACGCGAATGTACAGCCTAGCTGAAGACTTCGTCGAAAAAAATTTCTTCACTGCAACCGTCCTTTTAATAATTCCTATGATCCAATGTATAAATTCCGTAATTTGAAAATGAAAACTTTGCAATAAACACAACCTAAAATTTAACAACTATGTGCCTTATTGAAACGAATGTCTCGTAACCTATGAAGTTTACTTTCTTTTGTTGATTACGTCAAAAGTATTTCATTTCATCTATCAAGAAATTTATGTCTTCTTACTTAATCAGAAAAGCAACTGTCGATTAATGTTTGTGTGATGTTCGATGTTTATCTCTGGAGAACAAAAACGAAGGCAAAAACACTTCTATCCCTATATCAGCAACAATACATGCATAGTTTCAGTTTAAAAGTTAGTGTTATTTTGTAGTGAGAGCTGGCTGCAAGCCAAAATTGTAGACAACAATTTACGTCAATGTTCACGTCCCGAATCAGGGTCGTGAAAAAAACAATAACAAAGCTTAACCTTGGAAAAATTACCAGTCAATCACAGCGGAGTTAGAGTGTGGAAATATGATTCACAGATATATGGCTTGATTTTCTGAGAAACGGCCACAAAGAGATAACAGAATAACCTTCAGCAAGAAAACAACCAATCAGAAGAGGTTGCTTCTCTGCTAACAATAACGCTAATAATAATGCACATAAAAATCTATAAATACCTCTTGATTTCCTCAATAAACGATCTGTTGCCTGCCCCTTGTCTTCCGTCGTTACAATATTACCTGCATGTTTGAAATTTTAGCACTAACAGTTAATCTGTACATAAAAAATGTCAAAGTTCGAAGAGTCATCTGAAAGATATCAGGAAATTGTGTTACTGTACCGTTTAAGACTCTGAATATCAGCTACTTTGATACACACAATGGAAATTCGACTAATTCTAAGACATTCTGTCAAGAAGTGACGACCTCTAATTTCTTTCAGGTTAAGCGTAATGATAAATAAACTTCGATGGTACTAGACAACGGTGGTACTATATCTAGATTGACAGAGGTTGGAAGTTATAAACCATTAAATTTCGAATCAATTACTTCACAATAATATCTTTTCGTAATATGAGGAATTTATCTGCGGTAGTCGTGGGTAGCCCACTACAAAAGGTTTACGAAATACAATGAAATGACTGGGTAGCTCTTCTCAGTTTGTTTTTGTTCTATAATCGATGTCGGTTAGTGTCAAATAACTCTGTATATCCACCAATACTGTAAAAGTACTTCAGTTTTATTTTCTGTAATAATGTTTGCCACTCATTTAACTGCTTATTTAGTTGATTTCGAAATCAGTTTTATTTCTGAAATGTCTATCTGATGTTTTATTAAATGTGCCTATTTATCTTCCCATATAGTTCTTCCTTTTGTCTTTTAATGACGTTTAGAGAAATGTTTCATTCAAAAACCGTAAACCTGATATGTGTCCATTTAAATGAAGTTTGAGTACTCTTAGGTAAGTCTCTTATGGGCTTTATCAAAAGTAGATGAGACGAATTTAGTAGAAAAAATCCGTACCAAAAAAGAAGTTTTCTAAGTATTTATTCAACTGTCCATCTTAATAACTGCACTTATGGCTTATTCGCAGTTAAGGCTAAAGTGATGAATTTGATTCATAATATAGAATTTACTGTTTCTAAATATTTGAAGTTTAGATTGGTGGATTTTCAAAAAAAAAACACATCCATCTTGCTTAACAGACAAAATAAAACAATAAAAACAAGACTCATTTTTTGAGGACAATTCCCTCTCTTTCGTTTATAAGTTCAAGGATGCAGTTTTAGTCCGAAAAAAAATCAAAGAATACTTGTATTACATACATTAACTTATTTCTGTATAAAGTACAAGCTTAAAATAAGAGAACATTCATTGTTTTATAATTAAGCGAATGAACCAATCATTTGATGTATAGACACATAAGTCCACCTGAATGTGTTTGTCTATCGCTCATTTAGTGTATGAATATAAATTAATTCATATATAAAATTTTTAAGAGGAAATAATTGGGATATATTACTAAACAAACATTTAAAACACTATTCACGTGATCAAAATTTCAAAATTTATATTTTTCGGTTTAAAACACCTTCAATAGTTCAATGTGTGCTAGAGCATTGAGTAGATAAAATGAATTTAATTTGGATCTTTATTAATGAATACAGTCAATCTGATTTTCACTGGGAATAGTATATGGAAGCAATATACCTGATTTTAGCTCGTTTTGTCATATCAATGACTACTCGAAGACGACGTTCATCATCTTTGTCATCAATAAGTAACAGTTTCACTTCAGACGATGAAGATTTCTGGTCTGCTTCTTCGTCTAGAAAGACATCAAGAGAGTCAGAATATAAAAAGAAAATCAGTTTATCAACTGTTCAGTCAACAAGTGAATTGCGTGTTATTAGTTCATCTCGTGTGGCGAATGAAACTGAGGTCAGTTTAGTTCTCCCTCATCCTCTCAATACATAAATATATATATGTTCAAGTATTGGTTTTGTAGGGATTTTGTTTGATTGCATGGAGGATTTCATCATGAGCTGAAATCAGTTAGAGAACCACTGGAAAACCTGAGAGCACTGGACAGCTGTTTCATCCTAGTTTGGGACTCTTCATCAGTACACAACCACCGGGATTCGAGCCCAGGACCTATGTATATGTGAATTGGTCAAAAAATACTTTCGGTTATTTTTAAAGTCTTTGGCGCCAGATGTTGGTACAAACCAATTAGTGTTTTGATATTCATTCGTGGAGGCTATTTATAACCCTGACCTGGCTCATTTTTCCCCATCATTCATAACAAGGAACTCCTTGTGTAAGAGATTTAAGCCATGTTATTAAGAGAATGTTGCCCTTGTCAAACGCTATTTTCTAAATTCAAGCTATTGCCCCTTTATCACTCGCTAGAAGGAAATTATATTTAACATAATAAATTTACAGAGCCACAACATATTACTTATGCACTGTTTTTAAAGGTAGAAACCTGGAAATAAGTACAACCCCTAGTTTATTGATTAGGTGCTTTATGAAAATAAATGTTTCAAAAACTACTTTCGCTTATTGTTTGCATAAAAAATAATACAAATCACCCATCAGAAAATTTATATTTTCTCTTTTTGAACCTGAAAAGAAACTGCAGAATAGTGTCTGTATAGTTTTCAGTGTTCCAATGTGTGTCCCTGGAGAACAAAAGCGAGAGTATAAACACTTCTGTCTCTATATCAACCACAAAACATGAATAATTTCAGAGTCAGAGGATGACGTGGATGAGATCGTGTGAGGAAGTGACATGAACTTATAAGCAATCGTTGATGAAGCTAGAAAGGACTAGACAGAACAGAGTGAAATCGAGATGTGTCATTGAAGCCCTGTGTTTCACTAGAAACGCAAGACGATAATAACAGTGAATCATATTCTTGGGGAGGGGGTGGGGAGACGAATTAACCAAGGAAAGTTTGATATAGCTCATTTTTTCTTGGAATACAATATGATTTTAGCCAAACTAGTACACTTGTAAAACTTGAGCATAGTGATAATAGGTAATTCCACATTAATTTGGTTATTGGATATATCATCGCATAGTAAAACAGTATTATTTCCTGGATGACTTATCAGACACAATTTATAGTTCATAATCGCATCATCAGTTGTAGTTACACAACTTCGAAAGTTGGCTTTTATAGTTCTCACTCTTACTTATTATATATGGTAAGGATAGTGGAGTTAATATCAGTAAAAAGTTTGAGCATTGTGGATTAGATCAAATAAAGTATAATTATATTTCAATAGTTTGCACACAATGATAAGTTTTGTTATTGGTAATTTGCTCGATATATTACCAATAACAAAACTTATCATTGTGTGTAAACTACTGAAATATAATTATACTTTATTTGATAGTGGAGTTTCTGAGTGTCCGGTAGAGGTGACGAATCATTTCCATTGTACATATTCTTAGCTGATTCCATAAATAAAGTTTTATTTCATCAAATCAACCATTGTAACTATTTTCGTTATATCTAGTTTTATTGTCATATTCCTCTACGCCCCTAGTGGAACATAGGACTTTAAGATAGAGCTTTGAAGTTTTGCTAGCGGTGAGGTTTATTTTTACGGGGTACGGTTTCTATCCTTAAGCCCAACTTTCCCTCTCTACCTATCTTAATACCAGCTTAGTGAGGTTCAGGAGTGCTTTGACTGGGGATCAAACCCCAGATCACATGCGTGGTTGGCCAGTATTCCATCGCTTTACCATTTTCATTAACCGCATTCCAATAAGAGTGTTTCATATGCGTTATACTCAAATTACTTAATTATCTGGCAATCGAAATCTTATGTAATCACTTTTATGTTATTATTATCATATATTTCACTGTTAGCTGTTTAAATATTCCACGCAAAAGCTAACTTTTATATTAGACAAGTTTATTTGTTATAACACACTGATACAGTATTAATGACTGGATAACTTTTCGAGAACAATTTGATGCTCATAATCACATCAATGTATTCACACAACTTGCAATAAATTGTGCTGGAAAAGTCATTCAGTCACTTACACTGTGTGTTATACCAGATAAACTTATCTGATATAGAATTATATTCTACCACGGTGCCCGAATTCTACTCATACATTAAAAGCTAACTTGTTTTGGTTCCTGTATACTACTAAATTGGACCTATTCTTCTGTTATTATCATGAATAGTTTACTACTTTGTGTTATTTGATGGATGGTGACTAGCAGTAGAAATCAAGATGTGCGTTTCGTCCTATTCGGGACTCATCAACTGGATGGGCCTGCAATAGCCAGTGAATGATGGTATTATCACTGAGATTCAAAACCCTCACTTACTGTTACAACAAACAAACAGTTCTCTACTTTATCTATTTTATTAAATTATATTTTGTGCAATAAATTTGTCGAATAGACTTGCCCACTTTCTTCATTAGAGGCTGGTAAATAAAATTGAAAGAACAAATTTTTTCAGGTAAAACTTGAAATGACAGATAAAATGTATTGTTATCTAGGCTTAACATGAAATTTTCATCATGTTATGTCCATCAAAACAAATTTTCACCAGCTGTAGTGTCATGAACTTGTTATTTTAAAGTTTGATGACCTGAGTTTTCTTTCATTTAAAACAACTATCCTTTGTATGAATGCACAATTCAACGGACTATACAATTTCATATATTTCCTGTATATAGTGAAATATTCATACTAGCTTTGATAAGATAAATACGTTTAATCGTCATAGATAATTGAGGATTACTGAAAAATTGCCGCTCATATAACTCACAGGTGTCTCCGATAATTTCTCTCAAATTGCTCAGAAAATGTGAATACATTCAGAAGATTGATTTATAATATAGGAAGGAAACACTTTTAGATCTGTTCGTCTGAGTTTCTGCGATACACCTCCTTTAAATTGCATGATCTCGAAATATCGTCCATTAAATGCTGATTGTTGTAACCCAGGTATTATTTATAAAGATAAGAACTATTGAAAATAATGAAGTCTGTTTCAGCTTCATTTACATCACTGTGGAGTGTCAGTAAACCAAGTGGTTACACTTTGATTATATTTTGATAAAATTTACTTAGAAGATAAATAACACTATCAGACAAAACCTTATATTGCTTAGAAGCAGAAATGTGGGCAAACTTATTATCTGTTGGCGTCGGTAGTTTTATGGTACAATGAACGCCAACCACAAAGGCGGTCCACGGTTCGATATTCGGCCGAGGCACTCCTTAATCTCACCTAGTCTACTAACCTATAGTAAGTCTGGGAAAGTGAAAAGGCTGAGCGTGAAGCTAGCAACCCCACTGCTCCTGAAACCTCAAAGATTGAAGCTTAATGTTCTACTTGGAACGTAAAGGAGTGCAAAAAGAAGTTACGTTGGCAAAATGTATGTGCAGTATCCAATGTTTTATATCCACGAAATTGTATCTTATGTCCACGGTATACTTTTACCAACATCAAATTTTGTTAGAGCATTTATTACGGATTGGTGAAGAGACAAACATATGATTAAAAAATTACCAGCATACGAAGAAATTTTCACGCAATCTAAAGTTTAGGCATGTGCTTGTCAAAACAGTCTCTTAAAGTGTAAGTACATAACATTCTACGGTTACTTTTTAATCGAAGAACACTCATCTTTCAGATATATACTACCAGAAACCTAAATAACAATGAAATAATTAGCCTGACAAAGATTAAGTTAATGGAACAGTCAACCTACCCTATAATTCTGCCTGTATTTCAGAATGGCGACGGTTATCCAAGAATTATTATTATTCATCGTTTTATGTTTATTTTCACGTATGTATTTAAAGTGATAAGAAAAATGAGGTGAAAACTTGAGCCAATAAATTTTGTAACCAGAATTCTGGAGAATTCTGTTTTGCGTTAGTGGAAGCTACATGTTATATTCTAAACTAATAATTTACACAAAGCAGAAAGTTATGATCAGATTCAACGAGTGAATATTAAATTCCGATCCGATGTGAATTAAGAACATATAAATGGAATAGTGGTTTAATTTACACTCTGTTTCGAATGAAAAACAGAGTTAGCACCTGTTATAAGCACATCATATTCCTATTACCTTTAAGAAGTTAGTTTTGAGAATAAATTTTGAGTTTTTTGAGTTATCCTTTCAAATCTACTAAAAATCACTAACAAAGATATTCTTCTTCACATTGTCAACTGGCATTCGCTAAACTTATATATGGTCATACTCGCCGAAGACTTTGGCTAGTAGTCGCGCTATGTCGTCAATTGGCAGAATTTAGAATTTATGGGCCATTGGATTGGGTCCCAGTGGCTTAATGGTCTACGAGCTCGCCATGTAGCCGGGAGGTCTTTGCTTCGAACCCCAGTTGTGGGTACGTACTGCTGAAGAGTCCCAAACTAGAGTGACGAAACAGCTGTCCAGTAATCCTAGGTTTTCCAATGGTTCTCTAACCAATGCCAGCTCATGATGAAATCCTGTAGCCAATCAATCAAATCCCTACAAACTAATACTTGAACTTTTATTTTACTGGTCAGTATGTTATGAGCTGCTTTTCTATGCATTGTTAACACTGAACATCTATTATAATTCAAAATATTTATTGGAAGGGTTATTTCTTTATTCTCATAAATGAATATGCCATTCTTTTAAACAAAACATTCTGTAATTAAAAACAAAGACGAAAAAGGGAAAGAATTTCATATATATGGAATGATAAATGGAATAATGATAAGAAATGTTTTAATTCAACATGCCTTTTCAAAAGACTTTTAGATTACAAAAATTATTTCAATGAAATTCAGATAACTTATCAGAAAACAGAACTGAAATTTAGCTTATCGAATAGAGAACTAATTATAAAAATGTATTTGCGAAATTCCAGAAAAATGTCCTATTGATTTCTAAATATTTGAGACCCTGTAGAAGCCATAATTCCACAGAATAAATTATGTTTAAAGTTTACCACCCTACATAGGCTTATTTCTTTGCAGAAGCGGCTGCTAAGTTGTCGAAATGCCAACTTTCTTCTCTTTTGTTTAAATTTTATGAAAGTATTTTCATCATACAACTCCATTGGTTACAAAGGTTTCCAGTAAATGCCTGATTTTCAAGTGTTGGTTTCTAGGGATTTGATTGGTATCAGGATTTCATTATGAGCTGACATTAGCTAGAGAACCATTGGAAAACCTGGGAGTACTGGACAGCTGTTTCGTCCTAGTTTGGGACTCTTCAGCATACACACCCACCACCAGGGTTCGAACCCAGGACCTTCTGGTTACAAGGCGAGCTCGTATGCCATTAATCCACTGGGACCCGATCCAATGGCCCATGATATCTAAATTCTGTCAATTCACGAGATAGCGCGACCCCTAGTCAGTGTCTTTGGCGAGTATTTGTCCTCACACCCGACCTGCTGCACCCTACTGGTTACGACTTCTCACTTAGAACCCTAGGTAACTGCCCACCTGAACAGGGCAAGTCGCTAGTGAGCATCTCATTGATATTCTAGTGTTGGTTTGTAGGGATTTGATTGGTTACAGGATTTCATCATGAGCCTGATTGGTAAAACTGCATAACGACTAATAAAGCTGAAGATCATTCTTGTTACAGTATTAAGGTATGTGGATTCCCGGATATACGTATATAAATAGTATTTGTGAACCAGGTGATAAAATCAATTGTCCGTGTCGTGTCCGTTTGCATTGTTCTTCAATTCTGAGTTGAGTTTTCTTTTAAGAGGAATATTCAATGAAAACATCGATATTTTTCTTTCTAATTCTTATCAGCTTTTATATAAAATAGTACTTTTTTTCATCTTTATCTATAAAGTGACTTTTAAATGTTGAACAATGTTAGCCTGTCGATCTGAGATTTGATTAAGGTCAACTTAATAAATAGTGGAAAGAAACTGTTACATTAAAAGTTTTGTAATTTGTTTCACTTTCTTGAATTTTGGTTATCTATGGAGAATATGCATAATACTGGTGAATTCACACTTGCGAAATTTAAAAGTGATTGTAAGCAGTAAATTTTCTCTTTCTACTTTAGAATGGTAGGCAAGAATTAAAATTTTAGATTAATTATAATCCAACAGACCTCTGATCCTAAATATAGAATACGTCTCTAATTAGCGAAAAGCAGCACCTATGGAATCTGGAACTTTCGATAGTTTACTTTAAAAATTTGATTGATCATGTATGAAACGAAAGATGCTAATTTTTACTCTAATGGCTATCTATTATTTAGCCAGCATATAGAGGTTTTAATTCAGACATGATTGCGTCTCAGTAACTTGTTAAGTTTGAGATGAAGTATGATTTGATTGCTTTTCTTGATTATACTGTCATTTTATTACTAAATTGTTCTTTTTTTCAAGTATTGTTTGTTTGTTTATTTTAGTATTCACATGAAACTTTATGCAACTATAATGAGCCGCAGACAGTACGAGAATCTCGAACAAATTCAGTACAGATTGAATCTTTAATGTGTCGAAGACAATCAGTCAGTTTGCCTGGATTTCATGAAGGTCTAAATTCGGGTAAATTAGTCTCAAGATTGAGTTTAGTCGGTGATGAACTAGAAGAAAGCCTCAAAGTGAGTTATTGTTTTGAAAGAAATTAACTTGAATAATAATTTCAAATTTTGTAAGTAAATTATTTTCATGAAAATAATATAGGCGAAAGAGAATCTCAATAGATAATTTCATATGGATTTCTTCTCTGTTCTCAAACTGATTAAATGAGGTAACGAATATCTACGAAGAGGATTTATTCAAAAGAATGGATACTGAACAAAGAATACTCTTTTCGATAACTTCATCATCAGGCTCTACAGTTATATATACATTATAGTGAATGAATGAATTAGTCTTATGAACAACATTAATGTTTAAATAACATAGAATCAATAATATTGATAGATTACAGCTCAATAGCATCAACATAAAATAAGCTGAATGTCAGAAAAAATTAGGAAAGATAATACTACAAATTCATGAATTTATAGTCTCTACTGAAGGCCAGGGCAGTAGTAAGGGCTGGACTTGCTTCTTTTGCATACAGATCACTGGTTGTTTGAGGCGAATTGCAATAGCCTCTGCTGTTTGGAGGCTTTCTTTCAGCAAAGTTTAGTTTACGCTTAAAAGCAAAAAAAATTGAGCAAATAATTTTTGCAACTATCATTAACATGGTTTACAAGAAACAATGTTTAAAGCAGTTTAATTCTTTATCTACTCCTGATTAACTTAACTTTTACTAGGTTCACTTTTTCAACTGGAAACACGCTAACTTCCTATTCCACTGAAGGTGCGCAATACCAGTGAAACCTTATAGTAATCGCTATGACATAAATAACTTACTAATAGCTTGTATAAGTATATTCAAGTAATTAAATATGCAGAAATCTAGAAATGAAAGAAAGTATTTTATGGTGTGTTTGAGAGTAAAACGTTTGGAAGTTAAATTTAACCGGTATCTGGTTTATAAACAATTATTTAAACGATAGGCGAATTTGTAAACAGTACGTAAATAATTCAGAGTGTTTTATTTTAATCTTCTATGTTAGCTTCATACTTTTATGGATCATGCAGTCTTTTAAGAAGAAGAACTACGTAGATAATTATGACTCTAAATGACTATCCAGTGATTATTACTATATGAAGTATAGATTCACATTAAGGCGATCAAACACGAAAGCTCAGTGAACATCAGGTAATATTCGTTTGCATCCTGAAGGACAGATATTCGCTATAATTTCAGAAATTGTAATTATTCGGATAGATAAAACGTTTTTAATTGGTAACAGTCAAAGTTAATTTTTGTTACGAGTCTGGTTCCCTTGATCTACAATGGTTATACCACTTTATAACTTTCAATTTTTTGTTCATAATATAAACGTTCAATGTTAGGTTTACTGCTAGAAAGCTGGTCTGTTGTTTTTTTTAACGCGAAGTTCTTATCATAAGCATTTTATGGAATTCAGTAGCGGTCAATGATACATGATGCCTCTAAGTATCGCAGTTTGAACTGGCGCCACAAGTAGGTGAATAAAAACAAAGCATTTCTGATGCAACAGGTCACATATTCCAGTACAAATAATCGTGGAAATACATTTTTATGTGTCTAACTTTGCAACTTACTGCCTAGCAAGCAAAACTGACCACTACTGACTAGCAGGAACTTCAAAGTCATCCGAATAAATAGCTAGAGAAAAATTTTTCAATTCACAATTTAATTTTAGATAACTAAGAAATGCATCACCCATGTCATTATGTGAACATGGCAACAAACTATGTCGCTACAATAGGAGTCATTTTTAAGATGATCTATGAACCCACTTCTATGTAGAACTCTTTGTCATTTTAGATCATATGAAAATATGCAGTCAGTGTCTATTTGCATATTAAACAGAAATTTACAAGGAAAAAGCCTAGTGGCTTCACAGAAGGAAACATATATCATTATATAGTAACAAGAAGCCTACAGTAAACCTATGTTTATTATAGTTTACGTAGCTAGGCAACGGAATTATTGTTAACTCTCTAAGCCTGTAATTTATAAGAATATAAACGTGCCATGAATACGGACCATATATCGACTTAATAAAAAAAATAGTATTTATCACCATTTTGGTTTACGAAAACATATTTTCTCTTAGCTACATGTTCATTCTTAATGTGCATTCAAAAGCATTCTTTACTATTATTAAGCTATCAGTCTTGTGGTAGGATGTCACTCAACAATAAGTATACATTTGAAGTTGTTTATTAAAATTAACCTAAAAAAATATGATGCCAAATGAAAACTGAAATAATTATATAAAGTTTATAAAAACCTTTGGAATGAAACTGGATCCTACTTCAACAGACAATTTGGACAATTGTTTATGAGAAGATTAAAGAACCTTTCTAAGTGTCACTTGTCATCTGAAGCTAATATAAGATTAAATTAGCAGCAGGAAATGATAAGCTGAACAAGAAATAGCCAATCCTTAAATAATTCAAACCTACTGAGTTAAGTGAAGACAAGAATTTAAAAACAAAATAACAATTAATTTAACTTAGAGACAGGAAATGAACTATTAGATGTGGAGATTTATTAAGAGTAGGTGGATTTCAAAAGCTGCTGTGCGTAGAAGTTAAGTAAATTCCGTAGGTAAACGAATAACTTAGAAAATCATAAGTGTATCACTAAGATTTTGTTGATATTTTATTTCAACTAGATGTGCAAACCTAAAGAACATCACCGTTCTCATTAATTGATATCACTAACGTAATTATATGCAACTGTAGGGTAAATGTTGATCAGACAACGACTACTAGATTGGCATTTTGTGTGTATGTAATCGTGAAGTCTGAAGGAAGAATTCTAAAGTCTCTAAATCTACTTTGAAAGTAGGACTTTTAAAGGAATAAGATCTCGTTGAACGTTAAAATCAATAAGTAAACGATTACAGGTCTTCATAATAATGAATACTTCAATGAAAACTCTTTAATGCACATTACTGCAGCCATTAAACTTTTTAAGAAATTAAATGCCTTTTATTTAGCTTCTTAAGGTTTTGAAACAATTGGCTGAAGGTTTTTAAAAAAGGTAATAAGAGTTAAATGGTTAGGCTACAACAACTGATAAGTGGTAGAATGTATTAGCTAGCGCTGATAGATTTTTTAATTGGCAAAAGTTAGAATATATGGCCCTTTGGATTCTGTCCCAGTGGCTAAGTGGTTAGCGATCTCATCCTGTAACTTGAAAGTTCTCCGTTCAATCCCTAGTGAAGTCTCAGATAGGTACTTTAGAAGAGTCCTAAACAAGGACGAAACAGCTATCCAACACTCCCTGGTTTTCAGTGATTTGTAACTGAAATCAGTTCATGAACTGATTTTTACATCAGTCATTCTTCTAGTTGGATTCCAAAATGAAAATCATCTTCTTGCTTACTCTAGTTGTGACGTGTGCTACTGACAAGGTTTATCAGTAGTATATAAAGAGAAGTTTTTTTCAGCACAAAAATATCAAAGACAGGAAATAACCATTATTGAGGCAAAACATGGGAGGTGAGAAAACAAGACAAAGAAACACAATATGAAGGGCGGAAATAGCACAATAAGGAAGATCTCTGCAAATAACGATTTTAACACAAGGTATACATAATCCCCCTAAATAGAAATTTCAGATTCCAAATAAACATTTCTCTTCCAAGTCTCTTGTCTTCTCCAGTTACATAATGACTTATGTCGAATTCACGCTTTAAACGAATTTATTTGTACAAACTCATTAATGCATGTGATAGCAAAGAATATGGAAGTTCGCATTAAAATAAGAAGTAAGTGAGACCATGTAAATTACGTCAAAAAGTCATGAGAAGACATTCATATGCTTATGGGCAATAAACAGTGCCTGAAACGTCATCCATTAATTAATAGTGTCATTGTGTTTTATACGAGGTAAACCTATTCAGTGTGGAATTATACTCTAACAGAATAGTAGAATTTTAATTTAAGAAAGGACAAGTTATTAATTTCTGGTGCTTTTTGATGCTTTGTATCTGATTCTTTTCTGTTTAAGCCAGCATGTTCACTTGTGTATCACATGCACTGCTTAAATTAAATTCTTGTCGTATTGAAATTTCACCAGAACTGTAGTAATATAAGTCAATTTGTCTTGCACCTTCATTATATGTTTACATACATCAATTTAGGATTTCACTGTCAATAAATATGTAAGAATTGAAAAACTAATACATTCTTTTCAGGTGATGGTTTACGGGAATTCGATTGTTAGGAGGTCTGACCGCGAGCTGACATCAGTTAGAGGACCACTGAAAAACTAGGGAGTACTGGATAGCTGTTTCGTTCCATTTCGGGGAATTCTTTGCATTATGCACCCACCTTGTTTCATAACCAGGACCTTTTGGTTACAAGGGGAGCTTGTAAACTATTCACTTTCTCATTTTTACACTATCATGAAACTATATATATATATTCTCACGAAATTACTGTCTTTGTCTATGTACATATGTAGTGGCTTGTATAAATATTTTTATCCATTATTATTTACTAATTTATTCATTCAGCTGGCAAAGGTATTGTTTCCAGTATCAGAGAAATCACCCTGCATTGTTTATTTTAGCAATATAAAGTGAAAAGGAATAACCTATCCTAACTAGCATACATTAAAGAAGAGTATAACTAAGTTAACATTATTAACCTTGAATACTTGGCAGTTTTTAACGAATAAAGTACTACAGGTGTATTGACATGATAAATCAAGATTAGAGAAAATATGTCCTACATTGCTTGACATTCTCATGTTCATATCTTTCATTTTTATCATTTCTTTGTTCTGATTTTCTTTATTTTTGTACAGAAGTTTAGTAAATCTCAAAATGCCAGTACAAGGAGATGGAGCATTTTTGATTCTTTCGTATCAAAGCCAGAATGATAACATAATATCGATCGATTAGAATGAGAAGAAATTGTGTTCGACACAGTCTCTATGGGATGCGATTCATGACTTCTTTGACTTGTCTTTCATAATGATTATTTCTTGAACTATATCTTAAATCTACAACATGCACTTACCATTTATCTTAATATCTGACAAATTATGTGATACATATTCAACGAACAATTGTTAAACACAGTTTCAGTCAATATGATGTTGTACATTGAACTCAAAAAGAAATGTTTTAACTATCAGAAAGTATTTTGTTTCCTTATACCTTCATATATACTTGAGAATAATACACAAAATAACACTTTTGTCTTCAAAAACTGAGATTTCTTTCTATATATTGAAGAATTATATGCCTTGAAAATATGAAAATATAATTCAAGTAATCAGATGAATATGCTACGTTAGATTGTAGAATATCAGCCAAAAATAGCAAGTAAAACCAGTAGCACCTACAAATATGACTACCATATTTTTTATTTATGTATTGAACACGATTGAATTAGGTATATTTGGATTTTATCTGCTGGTGAAAAATGATACTTTACAGCAGATATTTATATCTTCGTAAATGCATTTTTAAGGAACGAAACCAACTGTGCATCGGTGGTACAGCGATTAGGACTCTCGCTGATCATGCAAATGGTCCGGGGTTCGATCCCCTGATGACGCACACCTGATATCAATTGGTCGGCCTGTAAAATTTGGGCTACCGATATCACATGCTGAAAATTCCATACCTGTACCAAAAATATTGTGTGGAATCAATTTATGTTTTTTTTAAAAGTTTCACTATACAGCAGGCATTTCTATCATCTTTGAGGCACTAAGAACAAACTTGTTATTATGAAAAACATTTATTCGGAGGTGTTCTATTCACAGGCACTTCAATATCACATAAAAACATAGATGAACTGCATAGCATCCTTTGCATTAAAACATTTGCGTAGACGGAATTATCGGTATAGAGTGACTTATGATCATGAAAATTTAGATTATCTAGGGGAATTATACTTATTGGAAATAATAGATTTTCATATGTTAGGTTCTTTTAAGGATTTGACTAAATTCAAGACTGATTGATCAAGTAGTTGCAAACTAATTAGCAGTGTGCAATTATTTTCCTGTATAATTGGATTCTTCGGATTTATGCATCAACAATACTAAAAAAGAGATTGGTACAGTGACCATCAGATTACAAAATTAGCGCATTATTACTTAGCCAGTGAATATAGATCCAATGGTGGGTAGCTTTCAGATGAGAGCCTTTAAGTTCATTCATCTTTGAAGTTGTCTGAGGGTGGCTACAAAGCAAACTGACAAATATCAAGATCTATAAGTCATCGGATTTCAATCAAAAGGCTGTGACAGAACATACTGATCTTAATACCTGAAGGTTTTGTATTCCACCTTTGGCATGTTTGTGGGTAAGCACTGCTGCAAGGTCTCGAATAAGGTCAGACAGCTGTTCAGAGCTCATTTGTTTTCAATTGTTTCTTCAGTCGATATCTGTTAATAACGAAACCTACTTTGAAACAACAAAGGCATTGGTAGACACGAAAGCTAAATATGTATTGAGAGAAACTTGAAATAGAAAAAAATCACCTAAATGGAAAAATACTGCTGTCACTTCTTGTGATACTCATGATTGTTCGTATATTGTTTCTGATTGTGTGAAAAGGCTTTATCATATCCGTTTTTTACATAAGGCTACTTTGTTGATATTAGATAGATGGAGGCAATCGGTAGGAAGCCTTGGATCCAGGTTTCGTGCTAGTTAGCACTTGTTAGCAAGATGTATCTACAATCCTGAAGAAACTCATTTCGCTTCTGATATTCGGACCAGCGTCACCCAGTGCTATAGTCAAGGTCATAACCACTGAGCAATACAGGCTCGCGACTGACATCCCGTAGGACTGTATGGGATACTTTGATTGATACTTTGATACTTTGCTGAAGAGTGACAACTAGCACGAAACTTGGGTCTAAGGCTTCCTGCCGATTACCTCCAACCACCTAATATCAGCAAAAGTGCACCGTAATCGCAAGCCACCTAGAATGCTGGTCGCATTGCAAACCTGACCGATAGAATTCAGTCTGCACCAAACAAAGGACTAGACTAGTTACTAACTAGTGTCCAATCAAAATAAGGCTACTTTTCAGAATTGTTTCTCGCTGACAGATAAAATTTCGGACTCTGGGTTGTCTGACCGTTAGATTAACAAACAAGGGAATCAGTTATTTCAAGCTAGGAATGTTTTAAATCTAAAACCTTTCTATCTAAGTTGGTGAAAATTCCACCAGTTAACTGATACGTCATAATTTTTTATCTAGATTTCGATTTAAGACACTCTGTTTCCATAATGGAACCCTAAAACAGTGCTTAAGTTTTGTTCTTATTCTGTTTCCATCATCATTGTTTTCAGTCTTCTGGCAAGGATTTATCTGTACAGCGGGTTTCTCATTCATACTTGCAACATCTAAACGCATTTGTCCAGACTATCTGGATTCCTCAAGCTGAGTAAATAAAAAAAATAGTTTTTGGACATCCGTTACCCAACTTTCTGGTAGATATCTGCAGCATTTAATTATTTTTTGAAAAGCATACGTAAAATCATTCACTGCCAGAAGACTCCTACGTTAAATACTTTAAGTTGTCAGTTCCCTGACATGAATTGGAAGTATTTGTGGCTTAGGGAATGGATATCTAAATGAAATTAAATGCTGAGTTGGACTGATAGCTTTCGACGAAATAACAGTCATCCCCTTCAGTGCACACTTAGAAGAGGTGAACATATGATTTTTTTTATTAGAATTCGTTTTACTTGTGTTGTTTTAGAAACAAGCACGGTGGTCACAACTTGCTGGGAATAACTGTGAAGAAAAGCTTCGCTGTTAGACTATCCTCTTCCGGAAAAAGAAAATCACTCGAATTTCACTGCAATAAGGTAGTCTTTTTTATTCTAGGAGTTGTGAGTAAATTAATATGAACAGTATCAGAAAATATTCGCATCAGATAAAGTTTAATGGCTGCAATTCATTTGATTTTACCTGATAAACTAAAGTGTATTTTAACTACAGAAATTTTAAGCGGAAATATGCTTCACTTTTTAAGGCTTTAGCCTACTCCACTGAAGGAAGTTGCTAGAGTTTAGAATGTCCTTTCATCACTTTATTTGGATTAACAAATAAATATCCAGATAGATTTGTTGGAGTAGTTTTACCTGTGACATTAACTACACATATATTGTAACTCTCAATTCATGAGGTTATTTTAAAATACAAAAAAAGCAAAGGACAATCTATTTATTGATCAGACTGTAAATGAAATGGGATACAACAAGCAAGATGTTAGTTATCACGTTATATCTTTTGCATGACCTTAAATTCAATCAATAACTTTTCGGGAAGCTAATCACAAGAATGAATTGAACTCACTCGGATAAGAAATCAATTCTGATCATATGATTTCGAGTAATAAAGTGATTTTACTCATTACAAAATCGTTTGCGGTGTTTCCTATGAAAAACGTGAAATTCTTCGTTTACTTTCCTGAAATATGTAGCAGTTGTTTAGATTAGTTTAGTACAGGTTGATATTAAACATTAGATGGTCAAAGGTAATCTTCAGGAGATTGTTGGCAGCCTTGTATGAACTAATGTCCTCTCTGTGATCCGAATCCTTATCATCCAGTGCTGCAGTCACAGACGTTACTACTGGGTTGTTTGGGCTCAAGACTAATATTCTGTAGGACTGTAATAGGTACTTCGACTGGTCACCAGAGTGTAACTAAAGTCATACGTCTAGTCGGTGGTGTTGCTGTGGACTGAATTCTACCAATAAAAATGTGCCATATATGTGGTAGAATGGTAGTATGTAATTCCATAATTATTTGTTTATTGGATAAATCATAGTGAAACAGTATCATTTACTGGATGACATTTCGAACACAACTTAGTGTTCATAATCATATAGGTTGTGACTAAACAACTTTGGAACTTGAGTTTTATAGTTCTTTTGACTTCTTTCCATTCATTGTATGGACATTAGGATTTTTCAGATGTCTGGGATAGGTGTTGAATCATTCCTTTTTTTTATCCTTCACGTTCCCCAGTGGAGCATTGGGCTTCAAGCTAGTGGCTCGAAGTTTCTGTAGCAGTCTTTATTTTACAGGATGGGGTTGCTAGCCTCATGCCCAACCTTTCCTCTTTACCAACATTACTTCTGGTTCAGCGAGGTAAAGGAGTGCGTCGGCCGGGGATCGAACCCCGGACCATGTGGATGGTCGGCGAGCGTCCTAACCGCTATACCACCGATGCCTGAATCATTCCCATTACACGTATTTACGGTTGATTCGATAAATATAGCTTCCTCTCCCTACACCCTGTTACATTAGATTTTATCACTGTCATCTTATCCCATTCTAATCTATGGTTGCGTGTAATTGCATGCAGTGCTATGGCTGAGGTATTTGCTAGACTTCTTGTCTTATTCAGGTCAACTGATCTAGATTTCCCTAGTGTTTTGTGCTCCGTTAGTCTAACTGACCACTTCTTACTACTCTGAACTATGTATTTGACCTGACAAGCATTGTAACATATTATACAAACTAACTTATTTTGTGTGATGGACTCAACAGGACACTTTAGCTGACATAATTTGTTTCTAAGTGGATTTGTGGGGCTCGAATGACATTTTTATCCCTGGTTTCTTAAGAATTCTACGTAAGGTTTCAGAAATCCCTTCCATGCAAAGAAAGAACCTCAGGGATCTCAAAAGCTACTTGTTAGTGTCCTTTCACGTTAAGATGACTGAAACACAGCATATTGTTAGGAACCTCATGGCTGACAAGGCAAAACCACATCTGTAAAATAATTGTGTGCTGCTTGAGTGCACGAAGTGGTAAATTCTTTAACTAACTGAATCATTATACTTAATCTGTTTTTTCAAAACATGCAGACTCTCCATTTATCAACCCTCTTCGCTATGAATACAACAGATTTATAGATTTGCAAGTTAACAAGGTTCATAATTGATTGTTAGCATGAATACTTAATAGAAGTTTCCGAGTGAGGATGAAAATATCTGATTTTACCTAGCATTTGCACTTATATCCAAATTACTGCAAATATGTGGAGTCTGAAACAACAGGATTGTGCAGTTTTATATTAGACGTTAGAAATGGAAACATTGTACGCAACTTTTTTTAAAACGATTCACTGTAAAACATGCATAACTGTGGAGTACAGTGGAGTGCAGTGTGCCGAAAGACGCTTTGTCTTCTCACTGGTCCATACTGCCTAATTGCCTCACTACTTACCACGTCGTATCCTTTGGATTTTTCAGGAAC